TTTCACAAAGGTCTATTTCAGACATTCAGTCAAGGACTAAATATGTTGTTTTTGCTCAATGTTGTCACTTTTAACAATTACCTCAATGGATTGGCCAAACAGGACCAACTTTATGCCTGAATGGGGTAGAACTATGTGGAGTGACTTGAGGGGAATGGGGAGTTCTCCTACCCCCAAAAACTATATCCTTTGATGTCAATACAGTTTTCCTACTCTCTCTAGGATTCTTTTTTTTTGTAGGTAAATATTCTTGAGAGGGGTCACACATTCAGCCACACATTAAGTATGGAAAAGTTCATTTTTGGGACTTGAGCCAATAATTTATTTTACTTTTATTTACTGCAATTCAATTGTATAGCACCTTAGTAAAAATGAATAGGTCAGTTGCTTTTCTCCAGCGATGACAGGAAGAAATTGGTCACCATGAGCATGTGAGACACCTAGAGATGGGGAATGAGAAGTGCAAAAGGGAGAAATGGAGATATGAGTGACAAACTTTACCTATTTCTCAATTTTGTCTAAAGTCAACTCAGTTTCCACCTTATGTATGACATTGCTGCTCCTACTCTCTGAGTCCTCCAGTTACCATGTTGCTCTCCATCTCTTGCCAAGTGGGCAAGGGATAGGCACAGAGGTAAAGAAACGAATAACAATTTTCTAATTTGAAGATGGCTTGTTATCTCTTTTAATTGTTGAGGAAACAGAAAGATTTTGTATATATGTTTGTTGGGAGGAGTTGGTCAGGACACTCATATTCAATTGATTTTCCCCCAGTCAAGGTGATGAAATCACAGAAGAGACAATTACAGTGACAACACAATTTTGATTTGTTAAATGACATGCAAAACTTGGTCTACGCTGTTAAATTACAACATGTGAAGTTTTCCTCAATAGAATTAGAGATCAGCTAGTTGCTGTCCAGTAAGGAATAGATCATACCCCTAGAAGGGATATACTAACCAGACACATAGTAGAGGTAGGAGAGATCTGTGGCAGCAGAGAAGACACTTGGCTATAGAGAAGGAGCCTAACTCTTGGTAGGAGATCATTCTTTACCTTCTCCTTGTACTTTTTACTAGAAGGCAGCAGTGCTAGAGGTAGGGGGAGAAGATTTCTCTCTTTTCATCTTTGCTTCATGATGTCTTTCAGTGGAGTTACTTACACATTTGCAGACCCTGCATCCATCTGGTAGTAGGCCCAGGAAGTCAAGACAACCCCAAGAAATTTTGATTCTTGTTATCAGAAAAGAGAATAGAGAATAGAAAAAAAAAAAAAGAAAATAGAGTCAGCTATAGATTCAAGAGAGGATTACTACTCCAGGGACATAGAGAATAAGGCAATATGTTTCCTGTCTTTCAGGAGGAGGATGATCATGGTAATTTCTAGTGTCGGCATTGAGTGAAAATGTAGTCTTGAATTAAGAAGCATTTATCTTAATGTCATGTCAACAAGCATTTATTAAGTAACTATTGTGTACCAGGCACTGTGATAAGCTCTGAGGATACAGAAAAGGGCAAAACACTGTCCCTGTTCTCAAGAAACTCAGTCTAATGGGAAAGATAGCATGCAAACAATTATGTATAAACAAGATACACGCGGAATAAATTGAAGCTAATCTCAGATTGAAGGCACTAGCATTGAAGAGGAAAAGTTTCTTGCAGAATGTGGGCTTTTAGCTGAGACTTTAAGGATCTAGGGAAGCTCGGAGGTGGCAATGAGAAAGAATATTCTAGGAATGGGGGACAGCCAATGCACATACTCAGAGTCAGAAGATGGAGTGTCTTGTACAAGGAAATGCAAACAAGAAGGCATACATGCAGAGGAGAAAGGTATGAGAAGACTAGAAAGTAGAAAGAGGTGAAGTTATGAAGGGCTTATGAAAACCAAAACAGAGGATTCTATAGTTGATTCTGTAGCTGATCAGGAGTCAGTGGACTTTATTAAAGTCATTTTTAAGGGAGAGGAGATTGGCTAAGCTGGCCTAGGATCTGTGATTAACAGGGGCTGTGTCCAATTCCTCACTAAGCCTAGTTATTGTTCTAATTGGACTGGACAACCAAAGCTCCTAGGGGGAGAAGCAAGAGATCTATAGAAGAAAATAAGGAATCAATCTACTATCTATATGTGGATAATAGCTAAGTTATGATTAATACAAGTTTGAATACTATGGAAGTCAACTTAGTGTGAATGATAAGTCACATTTAATGCAATCCCAAAATTCAGTTAATTGAATGTGTGCAAGTCATTTGAGGGTTTTAACATGCCTCTATCTCATCAGTCTACACTTTCCTGTCATTGCATCAACTTCAAAAAATAGAAATGTTTCAGTGGTAGAAATAAAGCATCTTTTAGCTGTATGGATTGAAGATTGCAAATAAAAATGTATTCCTCTTAACAAAGCAGCCATTCAGACAAAAACTTCAAATTAATTTAAGGCAATGAAACGGGGAAATGAAGTGAATAGTGAAGAAACTTTTACTGCAAGCATTGGTTAGTTTGATCACGTTAAAAATTGAGTTCAATCACATGTTAAAATTACTGGAGAGAGGGGTAGCTAAGTGGCGCAGTGGATAGCACTCTGGCCTTGGAGTCAGGAGGACGTGAGTTTAAAATCAGCCTCAGACGCTTGACAGCTTACTAGCTGTGTGACCCTGGGCAAGTCACTTAACCCCGACTGCCTCACCAAAAAGCAAAAAAACCCAAAATTATTGGAGAGGCAGACAGCACAGAGGAGGATGTAGCAGTTAAATATTCTGATGTTTTAAAGGAAATAAAGCAGGTGGATACACTGATAAAATTAATTTGGATGAAATCAGCTTATTCTAGAGAAAGATGCCTACTAGAACTTAATTTCTAAGAAAGAAAATAGTATTTAAAATGTCTAAGGATCACCTAATGTTGGGAAATAATTTAGAAGGAGATTTTGAGTGAAAGTCAATGCTTCTTGTGTTGTTTAGTCATTTTTTCAGTTGTGTCCAACTCGGTGACCCCATTTGGGGTTTTCTTGGCAATGATACTGGAGTAGTTTGTAATTTCCTTCTATAGCTCATTTGACAGATAAAGAAGCTGAGGCAAACAAGGCTAAGTGACTTTCCCAGGGTCACACAGCTAGTCTAAGGCCACATTTGTACTCAGGTCTTCCTGACTACAGGCCTGGCACTCCATCCACTGAGCCAAATGCTTCTTCATTGATCTTGAAATCCTCTTACTCTGAGAGACTGCAACCATTGATTGCTTCCAGTTATTTTGTGGTCAAATAAGAATGCATGGGTTTTCAAAGACTGGTTTTCAAGTTATTTTAGCTCAGCTATTGAAAGATATCACAAGAATAACAATATCATGTTTAAAGTATTACTAATTTTAGATAATGTCCCAGGTCATCCAACTATACCTTGTTCGTTGTGAATGTGAGCTTGCAAATGTTCTGAGATCTTTGCACTTACCAGTGTATGTATACAGATTTAAAGAAAGAGAAGACAGCTCAGTCTTTGCTGCTAAAATATTTTAAATGAAAATAATGTTTCCACCATATTGTCAGGGTAAGCTTATCTTTAACATGATATTCAGTAATTTCTTAATTTAAAAAAATTGCTTTCTGTGACTTACTTTATAATAAACTTGAATCAGAAATATATTTTTCTCATCCTTCATTATTACATTAATAAACATAAACTAATTTTTAAAACATCATTGCATATTTCCATTGAGTTGGAACCAATTACCATTTTTTACATAAAATTATAACTTTGAATAGTGAAAATTTGAATAATGTGACCATATCATAGGATTCATTATTTACATTAATCAGGACCTAGTTGTATAATCCTAGTGCAGAAATCTACAATGGTATTTCCTTTTAGAAATTATGATAGTACTTTGAATAGAGTGATATTATAAACTTTATTTTTTATTTTTTTACTGGGCAGTTGGGGTTAAGTGACTTGCCCAGTGTCACACAGCCAGTAAATGTTATATGTCTGAGGTCACGTGTGAACTCAGGCCCTCCTAACTCCAGGGCTAGTGCTCTATCTACTGTGCCACCTAGCTGCCCCCATAAACTTTATTCAAGATTTAATACAAACCTAGATTGAATCAGGAATGGATTGCCTAGTTTCATTCTGGCACTAGGGTAGAGGCAGCAAATAGAATCGAACAGTCTGTATTGGAATATAAAAAGAGTGGGAACAAGCCCAGTTGCAGCTGAGCAGGCAAAAATTTGATGACAGTCAAGGCAAGAAGTGGTCAGGAGGCAAAAAACACAGGCATAGAATTCGGGAGCTAACTGGCTAAAAACCAAGCAATTATTAAAAAGAAGCAAGCCCAGGAAAAATTTGAAGTTAACAAAAGTTGCAGGTTGTGATCCTATTGGCCTGATATTTGTCTTCATTCTGATTCATAGTCCTAGGGCTACCTGAATGAATGATGAAATGAATGAATAAATTGCTAATACCTTGACTCCTAGATGAAACTTGTGGTTTTAGAGGGACATCATTTAGTTAAAGGAAGAGAAAGGAAATACATATTTGTAGAGCACCTACTATGTACCAGGCACTATGCTAAGTGCTTTACAAATCTTATCTCATTTGATCCTCACAACAACCCTGTGAAGTAGGTGCTATTATTTTGCCCATTTTACAGTTGAGGAAACTGAGGCAAACAGCAGTTAAGTGACTTGCCCAGAGACATATAGCTAGTAAGTATCTGAGGTCAGAGAGGGAATATAAAAGAATATTTGGATATGAAAAAAAATTTTATAAGAAGCAGTAAGATTTAGTGCTCAATTTGCTACATGCACACAAAAGCCATGGTTTCTAGTACATGTCAAATGAGATGATATTTGTGTAACCCAGTCCCCAAGCCTATTGGTAAGAGACTTTCTCCTTATTGGTAGAGATCATGTACCTGCATGAGAGGTGAGGCAGAGTTGGTGGAGAAATGAGAGGTCTCCAGTCTTTTTTGACTTCAAGCTTAGAGTCACTATGGGCATTTCTGGCTTCTAGCTTTGAGAGAAGATGGAAGAGGCCAACCCTGTGTCAGATTACTCAAAGGAAAAGACTCTGAGAAGAAACCAGCATGAGAATCACTGACAGTCTCCATTATGTTCCTATCCCCAGCTTGCTATACTAGAGACCTCGGGGAACTCACCCTTGGGTAAGATTTGGGACTCTCTCGGTTGAACTGAATTAGCTTATTCCCAATTAAAAAAAAAGTACTTCCACTATTGTCTACTATATGTATTCTCCTATGTATACTTCCTCTGATTTCTGTTTTGCTGGGATTTGGATAAAAGAGTTTCTTTGCTATTCTTTATATGTGTTCGTCATGGTTCTGGTATTTGGTGGGGAAAGATCAAGCTCTAGACATAAAGCTTGGGGTCCTCTTTCCCCCAATAATAATGATCAGAAGTGAGCTTGAACCTGAAAACCTCATCCCCCAGACTAACAACATTTAAGGGAGCGGACAGATATAATACTAGCTTGGTATCCTCCCCCTTCCTTTCTCAAGAGAACAGAATTGGGACCTCTGGCCAGAATTAAAAGTCTACTTTGGAGAAGGGTGTGGTGGGGAGAAGGGGCTAGAAATGTCTATGTTGCCTCCCTTTGAGTCACATGATGCTCCCATGCCACATGTTGGGGACAATCCTTACTACATTTGTAAAGAATTTAGCCTACTGCCTGGCACCCTTTTCTAAACTCTTATTTTCTGATTGATCATCTTAACAGCTTGTTTTTGAATTCTGCAGGGCTCCAGTTCCAATAAACATATTGACACCGGATTATCTTCCTAAAACACCATTTTTTTTTCATGTCAGTCCTGTGTTGAAAAACTGACCATAAGGCAATGTTCAAACTCCTTAACGTTCGTTCTAGGTCCTAGTCACCATGACCCAGTCTGCAAGGGGCAGTGGATTTAGATGACCTTGTTTCAAATCCTGTGTCTGCTACCTACCACTTGTGTGATATCAGGCAAGTCACCTAACCTCTGTGGGACACACATACACACCCATCCCATTTCCATGAAGATAAAACTTTTATGTCACCTGCCATGTTGCCAAGGTATTGTTTCCAAGATACCTGGGAGGTTTTTCTAGTTCATCCAAGAGCAAGCCTTGATGAATTGGAGCAAGCCTTGATGAATTGGAGAATACCAGACGGAATGTAGAGATGCCTCAAGAGAGCTCATTGCTACTCAACTACAAATGAAAAATAATTATACTCAGTATTAATACAGTCAGTTATTTATGGGTCAACAAGTACAGCATAGATACTTAATATTTAATAAGAAGTCTCTACTAAAAAAAGTTTTGCTGTTGCCTTTTGTTTCTCTGTATCCTCCTCCAGTAATTCCTTTCGTGTAACGAACCCAAAACACAACAATTTAAACAGTGCCAGTGGACACAGTATCCACACCTGGCAGTGTATATTGTGTTCTAGATAGTCCCTACCTTTCCTTATCAGTTTTCCAGAACAAAATTGTTCACCAGAATCAATCATAGTTGGACTGGGTTTGAGTGTTAGCAGTTACTTTATTATATAGTCATTGTGAATCTTATACTCTTGGATCCATCCACTTAATTCTCACTGCCTCACTCGTTTCATACAAGCTTGACTCTCTTTGTAACACTTGATATAAGTTTGAAAGCTGATTTCCTTGCTGGTGCATGCTTTCTAACTAAGGCCAGGGGTTGTGATATGTATGTTCATGAGATTTTTAAATCTAATTTTGTACTTATATCTAATCTGTCACACAAATCTTGCCAAAGGGGAAGAGATTGCAAAAAATGAGGCTAGTGTCCAGTGCAAGAAAACCTGGGGGGAGAAGAAGCTTCATATTCCCCCCCTTGGCAACATAAGTTGGGCAATAAGTAAAACACAAAGACAGGCACACAGATATAAATTTGATTCACTGAAATTGACAAAAGTGTCTAATGTTCCTTTGCACATAAAATGCCAGTAATTTAATTAGAGTGAATTACCTATTTGTTGTTGTTCAGTCTTGTCCAACTCTTTGTGACTGCATTTGGAGATTTCTTGGAAAAATAAGCATCCTTCAGACACTCACTAACGGTATGACCTTGAGCAAGTCACTTAATACTTTTTGCCTCAGTTTCTTCATTTGTAAAATGAGCTGGGGAGGGAAGTGGCAAACCACTCCAATATCTTTACCAAGAAAACCCTAAATGGAGTCACAAAGAGTTGAACAACAACAGAACATAAGAATCTTTTAAACTACCAGATATAGAAGGAGAGCAAAAATGATAGAAACTGAGGCTACTAGGAATAGGTTGTATAAAATTTTAAATACTTTAAAACATTGGATTAATGCTTATTGGGGAAACGAGATAACATTCTATTTTCTCCTATTCTTCATATTGTAAGTCTACTTAGTTATTTTTTCAAAAGCAAGTGCTTTGGGAGTATTCATTTTTCTTGTTATTCTTCCATTTCTTCTCCTGTTTTCTGTCTCCCAGTCACTTAATTATGACATCCACTGGTCAAGAGGAGGGACCCATGAATTTACATCATTATTATGGTTTCTAGTTTGTTTTTGTTTTAAGTACCAAGCTGTTTAACATGTATAGTGCAGTCATAGATTTAACGAGAAATAGGTTGCCTGATTTTATTCTGTTTTATAGGTTGGCCTTTTACAAATAAAAAAAATTACATTATCATCATCACAGCAGCTAGCATTTATATAGTGTTCTAAGATTTGCAAAGCATTTTACAAATATTTTCTCATTTTATCCTCACAACAACCCTGTGATTTAGGGGCTATTATTATCCCCATTTTATAGATGAGGAAACAGAGGTAGATTGTGATTAAGTGGCTTGCCCAGGGTCATATCGTTAATAAGAGTCTGAGACTAGATTTGAACTCAGGTCTTTCTCATTCTCTTAGATGGTGCAGTTAGGCCTGGAGTCAGGAAGTCTCATCTACATGAGTTCAAAACGGGCCTCAGAGACTTACTAGCTATGTGAAGCCAGAAATGCCCATAGCAAGTCACTCAATCCCGTCTCAATTTCCTTATCTGTCAAATGAGCTGGAGAAGGAAATGGCAAACCACTACAATATCTTTGCCAAGAAAATCCCAAATGGGGTTACAAAGAGTCAAACATATCTAAAACAATTGAACAACAACGACTTCCTTATTCTAGTTCTCATGTTCTATCCATTGTACCACTTATACTTTATTAAATAAAAACAAATGAAATTCTGAATTTTTAACCATTTTGTAAGAGGTTTACTCCCAAAGAGATGAAAATTTTATTAGAAGCATGCTTCAGTGTAATTATTTTAAAAACCCTGTGGAGATATATATATATATATATGTATGTATGTATGTATACTGAATAGTCCAGCTCTGAGTGAATATAAAGGATATAAAGAGCATAATACAAAATTCCTACCCTCAAAAGTTTATATATCTGGAATTAAAATAAAGTGCCTGCAATCACAGGATAAAATTTAGAAACATGGTATATGAAAAGTTTATCATAACATTAATTATTAATATTAATGATAGTAATAGCACAATTATATTAAATAATGTTAATTGATATTAACACTAATACTTTATTATGACTAAATTCTTGGAATAAAATAATATTGAAATTGAATGCATTCTGGAGTAGTTATGGGAATATGAATTCAGCAGATTGTTCATTGCAGAATACATCTGTAATAATGAAGCAATAATACCAATACACAGAGAAATTAATTAATTTAAAGCAAATTTCACTCATCTTGTTGGTAGTGAGAGAAATAAGTAGGTAATATTTTGCATATCTATCTTTCCTATTGAATTTTTGTTGAACCAATTTTTATTTTATATTCTATCTCTCAAAATGTGAAAAGAATTAAAATTTCAAGAGAATTTTCTTTTGCCTTAAGAAACTTGTTTGTTTTCCTAAAATTTTCTAAACCTTGGAACTTCATGAATGTAGTAGTAGGTAGTAGTAGTAGTAGTACAAGTAGTAGTAGTAGTAGTTGCTGACACTTTATATATTTACAGAATGCTTCATATCCATATTCTAATTTCAGCCTCACACAAACCCTGTGAGGTAATTACTACAGGTTTATTGTCTCTATTTTACAGAAGTAAAACTGAATTGGGGAGGCTTGTGACACAGATATTCATTATGTGAAGCAGAATTTGAGGCAGCAATCTATGTATGACACCATGCTGCCTCTTACTTCCACTCTTCCACCCATCTACTGAGTTTCTCTACATGTACTTAAGACAAACTTTTGAGCCTTTCTGTATTATTTAGTGCCTATTTTAATTTATAGCCTTTGCAAATCTAGCAATTTTGCAGGAGTGAGAATGCAAAGATTTCCTGGATAAGAGAAACATGTGGCTGGTAATGAGTAGTACATTTTAGCTACTAGTACTTTAGACAAGATCTATAAGAATTCAGTATCACCTACAAAGGATTGTTAGTGGAGCTGTGATTATATAACCATTAATACAACCATTTTGGAAAACAATTTGGAATAATGCAAATAAACTGACTAAAATGTCCATGCCCTTTGATCCACACTGGGTTTATATCCCAAGGAAGCCATTGATAAGAAGAAAGTCCCTATACGTACCAACTTGCAGCAGAACTTTTTTTATTGCAAAGAATTTGGGGGAAAGTAAATGCCCATCAACTTCAGGATGGCTAAACAAGCTATGATACATTAATATAAAGAGATATTACTGTATCGTAAGAAAAAATATGTGTGATGAACACAGAGAAGTATGAAAAGATCTATATGAACTGATGCAGATTGAAGTAAGCAGAGTTAAGAAAACATACATAAAGACTACAACAGTCTAAATGGAAAGATCAAACAAACACACAAATTAAAAGTGAATGGTACAAAAGTATAAAGAATAAGCATGGCACAAAAGAAGAAATATGAGAGGATACTCCCAAACCAGCCTTTTGTAGAGGTAGGAGGTCCACACGTGTTATACACTGCACGTGTTTTGGACTTTTCAATATATTGATCAATTATGCTGGGTTTTCTTTCTCTACTTTCTTTTTTCTTTCTTTTTTTATTTTTAAAAAGTACTATTTGTTAAATGGGATAACTCTCTGGGACAAAAGTGGGGAAGGGATGTTGGGGAAAATTATGACATACAAAATGAAAGTATAAAAAAAAGCTTATGTAGGAAAATAAATATGACCTAATGATGATACTAAGGAGAATGAAGGTGATAATATCAAAGCATGACCAGAAAAAGCAACAAAGTGATGTTGAGGCCTGTACATTAACACAACCCCACCATTTTCTAGTTGATCAATATGTGGCAGAAAACAATAAACTGAAAGAAAATTACACTTATCATACTCCTCACGTAGGTACAATTATGGTCAGACAGTTGTGGTTCTGTCTCGGGATGTTTGTTCCTAATTAGCAATAGTCCGGGAAGGGGAAGGTTTGGACTCGGTCCAGGTCATTTCCATTTCCAATGACCATGAGAAAATTGGACTGCTTCTTTTACCTTCTGGCAGCTTGATGGAACTAGGGTAGTGGATAAATTGAAGAAACCATCAGCATAAACTAGTTAGGTGCTTCATTTGAATGAAAAAAAAGGTAATAATTGCACTGCATCCAACTCCAGTTCATTATCTACTGGGCAAAACCAATCTAAGGAATCCTGGTTTAACTTAAAACTGTCTCTAGCTGGGGGCTTAAAGCATCACTGTCTTTGGTTTGACTAGATTAGGCCAGAGAGACAGGAAGAACCTACTTTCCCACCAACAGAGAGGTGCCAATATTCCCTGAAAAAATCCAATAAAAATGTAGATGGAGGGTTTTGTCTGAAGACAAAGAAAAAACACCAAGCCAAAATTTAATATTTTGTTGGAGCATCAGAAAATCAAGGCATGGGGGGCAGGAATAAGTGTGGATTGTAGACTTCTAGGGGAGAAAACATTACAGACCAAAGTCTAATGTATTTGCAAGATTATTAATATGCAGAGACAGACACAGTTACTTACAAGGATTCTAAGTGAAATGTTGTTTGTCCTTTGTTCTCAAAGAGGACCAATGACATCAGGAGGGTGATGTCTTGACTTGTAAGGGAATTGGATTTAAGGGCTGTGCAAAGTGATCAGCCTCACTCTTTCCTCCACAGCAGTCTGGGTCCATTGGCAATATATAGATCAGGATGACTAGAGATGGCCCCCTTTTAAGTGAATAAGCATAAGTGAAAAGCAAAGTCCATGTCCTAAGGGCTAGGGGTCTAAAAGTCATTCAATATATACAATAGGACTAAAGAAGAAACAAATGAGGAAGAAACAGTGATTCCAGTCAAAGTACTACTTCCATTCTGTCACCCCGTATATGTATGTGTAGGGATGGGGATTGGGTCTCAGGGCAGCAACAAGGAGAGAAGAGATGGAACAGCAGCAAAAAGTGTGTTTTGCCAAAGGAGAAAAGGAACCAGGGACAGTGGGTGTGACTACTGCTTACCAATTCTACTAATCCTTCTACTTGATGTATTAACTGAAGCCAGATGTGATGAGAGGTCCTCACCTTCAACCAGAAAAACCATTACCTCTTCTAGTTCCGGTTTGTACTGGATCCTTCATTCTTGCTTCTGGGTGAGACAAATCTCCTTTCTAAAGTTTCTGCATTTGTTCCAATGAACAATCACGATGAACAATCTCTTAAGCAAAGTATGAGTCAAACATCCAAAAAGAGTTCTTGAACTCTTTAACCTGCTCAATGGAGGACTTAAACTATGTAGAGACAGTTCTTGCTTTATGTATTATGCAAGTAAAGAATTCTGAAAGAACCACAATGTAAAAAACCCCCAAATCCATGTTAACTTTACTGTACAGTATTGAGCTCTCTCTCTTTTTGCTCCTGCCCTGTGACTCAGCACTTCAACTCTTCTCCACCTTGTCCCACCAAAAAAAAAAACCAAACCCTAAAAGAGAAAACCCCTTCAAATGACAGCAGAACTGATTGGCTGCCCTGGATGGAGCTTGGCTTGACTCCTCTGGCTGAGAGAGAGGAGACCTTTGCTCAGGGC